AATCAAACAAAACATTTTTTATTGGATCTAAAATATTTGGTTCAAGGTCATTTTAAAAAGTGAACCTGGATTTGATTTAGAATCTGCAATTTTTAGTAAAATATTTTTTAATACCAGGATTCCACTATAATGGTCAAAATATGCCTCCTCAACAGTCACACAAAATTTTGTCATCCAGGCTGGAAACTGGATGACAAAGTTTTATGTGACTTTGAGGAGGTGGTTTTCCAAATAATGCAAGCACACATTTTTGCTTTAGAGCTGTTTTGTTACAAAATACTGCTCTAAGAACTTTTTGTATAGTTCTGCATATAACTGTTTCAATGGTTAAAAAATGCTCAAACTCATTAAATGTTTTATAAAAATAAAACAAGTATGAAAATAAATATGAAGACGATTTCCTCGATACCTTGGAATGATACCTTGTGGTAGTTTTTGATCATCTAAAAACTAACGAATCTTTTTGAATCACCTTTGCCATGTTTAAACCTCAACTTGTTCATAGCAAAAACTATTTTAAATGCCATACAATCATACCCAGCCATGAGGTAGCAATTATATCAAGAGCATGTAAATGGCAGTTTAGCTCATTCAAACTTTCCCCTTAAATGTCACACAGTTTGCTTATGGTAAGATGGTTAATTGCAACTTTGGCTGACATTGTGTTTGATATATTTGAGATGATTAATTGATCACTATCATTAAAAGATGCTAAATGAAAATCTAAATAAAAGTTAGATGATCAACTGCTTTACATATATGCAAGCAAATATTCGTAACTAGCTATAAGCATTTTATTTGCCTTAATATTATGTACAACTTTAACTTATTTTAGCTTTTAAAGTTCTGAAATTTTCATTGCTTTTTTTTTAAGCTTTAAGATTGCATATTATCTTAATGTAATAATATGTTTGCAAATTTTGTTTAAGATCTCTAAGTTCAGCTCTTAAAACTTTAACAATTTGTTTCTTTTATGTAATTTTTGTCTCAGTACTTTCAACTTGTATGCCATGCTTTTTAATTTTGCCATCACTATTACTAATTTATTTCAATACTTGCTGGATGTAACAGCAAGCTGAGAAGTTAAATAGGACAAACCTTTTTTTTCTAGGGCTTATTTCTCTTCTTGATTCATGCCTATTCATTGTTAACAGAATGTTTGGAAAATAAAGGCTTGTGATTTAGTGGTGATAAATTACTTATGTGCTCAAGTGGTGAATTATCTAAACTACTTAAAACAGTAGTAAGAGAACTACTTGGAGGGACATGATGATAGAAAGATGGGCAAGATTTGTGCAATGCATATACAGGGTTCATTACAAAATTCCTTAAAACGACAACTATCCCTTGTAAAGTTGCAAAACCAACTTTTGCATCTTTTCAAAACCCTAAAGAAATGTGGTTTACAAATGTTTAAACTAAATAATAGTTATAACAAATGACTTGACACTGTTAATGAATAAAAAAGATACATATCTATTTTTACAACAACTGCAAGTTTTGGCAGATAAAAAGAAGTGTGTATTTAAATACTCTTTAACTGTACTAAGAACAAAAATTAAAGTTGCTTATTGTGCCTATTGCTGGGGCACAAAAAGCAACTTTATTTACAAAAATAAATGTAAAGAAAGTCTTGAATAACTACCGAATAATGATATAACATTAAATTATAAACAATATTATACTTTTATTATTAAAAACATTTTTAATAATACTGTATTATTGCATAATTAAAAAATACTATTTATACACAAAGACAAAAATGCCAATGTATACTGACATCATAAAACATGTGATAATATAAAGAGTTTTTAAAATACCATCATACCTATAGCTAGAATTATAGTAATCAACGCTTATGTTTTCAATTTCAATGAAACCAATAAAATTTTAGAAACTATAAACAAGTCACACTAAAATATATAGTAATTTTCACTTTTAAAATAAAATAAACTAGTAAAAATATACAAACTAATATTAATTAATATAAAAAATCTAATAAACTACTGAAAAAATAAGAAAAAGAAAAAAACATTTTATTGGCAGTCTATATCTAATTGTATTAATATATATATATATATATATATATATATATATATATATATATATATATATATATATTATTATTATTATTATTATTATATATATATATATATATATATATATATATATATATATATATATATATATATATATATATATATATATAATTATATATATATATATATATATATATATATATATATATATATATATATATATATATATATTATTATATATGAAATATATATATATTTTTTTTTTTGCAGTAATTTATTAGATTTTTTATATTAATTAATATTAGTTTGTATATTTTTACTAACTTATTTTATTTAAAAAAAAAACTTATATATATATATATATATATATATATATATATATATATATATATATATATATATATATATATATACATGTATATATATATATATACATATATATATATATATATATATATATATATATATATATATATATATATATATATATATATATGTATATGTATATATGTATATATATATACATATATACATATATACATATATATATATATATATATATATATATATATATATATATATATATATATATATATATATACATGTATATATATATATATATATATATATATATATATATATATATATATATATATATATATATATATATATATATATATATATATATATATATATATATTATATATATAACTTAAATAATTACTAAACTAACCAAATAAAATTCAACTTGTTTGTACCCCTCTTACCACCCACTTACGGAAATCAGAAAAACAGAAATGAGGTACCAAAACTGCTCACTTTTATAGACTATCTGCTCAATAATATTTTTCAATGAAATTTGGTAGGTAGATAAAAAATATATGTAAAAAACTATCTGGGTAGGTTTGCAAACTATCTGAGCATTTCTTTGACAATAATTTAATGTGAGAACAACAACCAAGTTTTTAATACAAATAAAAGCAATACAAAAATTACCAACCACACATAAATGTTATATATTAATCAAGTTTAACTATTCTTTTTTTCAAAAATAATCTAAGTTTAGTAATGTTTCTAAACAGAAACGCCACAAAAAAACGTTCGCCTGACGTTACCTAAAAAAAAGTTCAAAAAACCTGGCACAAAATTTTAGTACAAAATTCGGTTCCGTAAAACACGGATTTCCGCGTACCTAGTTATATATCTACAGAAACAAGATAAGTTAATTTCTATGAAAAGAGTGGTATATCATCATTAGGAATTAGTTTATTTTGTTGTATTAGTGTGTAAATATCACCAATTTTTATATTAATACTAAACAAAAAAAAATTGTTAGGTAAACAGTACAATTTGTATTGAACTAAAATAACAATCAAAATTACACTTATTTTTGTTTTAGAGAAAAAAAGATTTCAAGCAAATAACATAAGTAACAAGTTGTTATTTTCAAGCAAATAACATAAGACTTATAACATAATACAAATAACATAAGACATTTTAAAATAACAACTTGTTATGATAAGTAACAAGCAAATAACATAAGTAACAAGTTATTATTTTAAAATGTTAAAAAAACTAAAGTGGAAAATAGGGACAATGTATATACAACAAATATGTTGTATACATATTAAATTTACTAGTTCAAGTACTTAAATAATAAAAATTTATCTTATTATTTTTAAGTCAAATTGTAAGTGTATTATAAAAGCTGATCTTTACTATATATTTTTTTCATTAAGCTGTTCTGTTAAATAAATTAAATATATAAACTAATTCTGTAAGTAAATAAAATTAATTAAAAGGTACTGTTTACTATAGCTATGTATAAAAAATAAATTTTGTCATATGAAACCACAACTAATTTTTGTGGTTTTAAAAGATACTTTTATATTCAAAACAGTTTTCAAAATAGTAAAATAGAGTATTACAAATATGTTTCATTATATGGTTTTGAATAATATAAATATTCTTTTTTTCACAGCGGGCCCCACTGTGCGTAGTTGGGCCCACTCTATTTGCCAAACTTGAGCCTCTCTCTCATTGTTATAAAGTTACGCCTCTTTCTTTTTTCTACAAATGCAATCATGGTTGTCATGGTTGCTGCTTAAAGGAGCTATAATCTTTAGTTCCATTAACCAAAACTCATTCTTGCTTGATTTGCTATTTAGCAAAGTCTCATCCTTTTACTGTATCTGTCCCTGCATACTCTAAAGGCTTTTATTTGTCTAGCTTTTACCCCCACATTTAAGCTCTTTGGAACTCTCTCCCATCATGTTTTCCTGATTCATACAACATACAACTTTTCAAAGTCTTCTGTCAACTTTTTCCTTGCTCTTTAACTCTATTCTTTGTTTTCTGTTAACTCTTAATTTAATAGTGGTTGCTTGCAGCCTTGTTGGGGAGTGAATCAAAATAAAAAAATAAGATTATAATGTAGCTTAATTAGGCCCAAATACATACTTAACATGATTGTGATATTCTTGTTTAATGAATGGGAGCTTAAATTGAGTGAGTTTGACACTGAATTATAAACTTAATGAGCTATCTCTCTTGGTTGATAAAAATTATAATTGAAATGTAATATGTTTAGAAGTTTTTTATCTATACTCTTTTTCATAACAAATTTTTACCAGGTTAAATTATCTTTTAAATATTGAAAGATAGTTTAATGAAGCTTCTGTCAAAAAATGGTTTGCTAAAAACATGCTATAAATATGCTATTAACATGCTATAAAGCCTATTTTGATTTTTTCATAAAGTTTGTTAACTCTGATTGTAAATGTATTTTTCTTTCTTTTGTCACCAAGACTTTAGTATGTTTAATAACTGGTTTAAAATTTGTTATTTTTGTTAAAAATTTAAATATATATATTTTTTTTTTGCGTGATTTATTTGAATTTTGTATTTTATTTTAATAGCAACCATTACAAAATTGTAAAAACTTAATATACTTTTATTTTTAGTGATATTAAAAATCAATAAGTGCAGTCTTTGAAGCTCCAATTTTAAAGTAAGTTGTGAGATAAGATACCAACTTCTTCTTATGTTTTATTCAGGAAAGACAGATAAATAAATATAATGTAACAATTTTAGTAAAAAAACCTTTTTAAAAGTCTGTCAAGAAATTTTAATATGACTTATTTTTACTTCTAGATCAAGGGGCTAAAATACAAAATATCATAAATATCCTGTTTATAATGAGTCAAGAGTCAAAGGTTCATTTACTTCTGGAGACAAATGGTTTATTGAAAGCAGCAAAGGTCCCTATAACTTATGAAAAGACTAGTAAAAGAAAATCTACAAAATTACAAAAAAATATTGGAAAACAAGAGTAAAATTCATAACTATAAACCTGATCCAGAGTATTATTCACTTCTAAAATCTGCTTAGAAATGTAAAAACTTCAGAATCATCAAGTAAACTATTAAAAAAGTTCAAGACTTTTTCTTTTGCAACTATATCTAGCACTGCAAATATACAGTAGCAAGAATATAGTATAGATACTGCTAATAATCCCATTTATTGTGGAAAGCCAAATTATTAAAATTATGATTTATCAAAAATAGTAATTAATGATTTATCTATTAAGTGTTTTTGAGTTAGTAATATTGAGCATCCTGTTGATTTTTTGGTTGTTATAGAAAATAAAAACAATTGATGTTGACCATCATCATGTTGGTGATGATGATAATGATGGTTGTGATGGTGACTACATACCTTCTGATATGTAGTCAATGAAACGAAGAATAAATATCTAAAACATTTTCTCCGTTTATTGATATTTTATAAATGATGATTTTATAAAATGATTTCTATTGCTATCTAACTGGCCCTGATAGAGCTAGGAAATCTAGATCGATTGATAAAGTTAAAAATGAAGATAAAATAATGTTTTTAGATGTTGGTATAACTAAATTAATTAATGTTTTACCAATATTAGTAAAAAAAACTTTAAATATTTTGCGTTGACCATAAGTTAGAAGCAGGATCAAATATATATGTTATAAGAAGTTATTTAGGTTCTTTAAAAGATTTTCTTTTTTTTAGTCTTAAATTATGTGTACCAAACAACTTCTAACATTAAAGACATGAGAAAAAATATATCATAGTAGGGACAATGTAAAAAAACATAAAAGAGTTGATAATCTGCTTATTACTTCTGAGCAAGTTAAAATTTACGTGGGAAGCAAAAGTGCTGTTATTATAGAACAGTTACTTGAGGATTTAAAAATCAATTCAAATTATGATGATCAATATTTTGGGATCATAAAACCGTTTCTATGTATGGACCAGCAAGGTTTACTCTGAGTTCGTTTGAGCATAAATGGATTAATACTTTTGTTAATTTAGTTAGGCCTAAACTACCTTCCTTTTTCTCAGATATCAAGAATCAGATAAAAAATGCTATCCTAGCTCCCTGCCATCTAAAGATTATGAGGTTAAAGATTGTGAAAAAAAAATTATTAACCAGCTATGATTGACAAATAATAAAAGTCATTTTAATTCTTCTACACCTAAAAAGCACTGGTTAAAGAAAAAATAAGTTCTTGAAGTGTATTTTTTCCAGAAAATATTTCTCAAAAAATACGATAGCAATGTGAAATCAACAATTATGAAATATCTGTCTGTTGATGGCTTATCATGACAGGTTTACGATAAGCTAAATAGCCTCAAAAGAAAGAAAGCCAGAGAAACAAAAATCAAGGTTTTATTTTTGTTTCAAGTTTTATTAATTTATTTAATTTTTAAATGTTTTCAATTTTAAATATAATAAATAGGCTATAATTTTCTTAATAGGAAAGTTTTATCAGGAAAGTTGGACTACTGAGCAAATAAATAATTTTAAAACTTAAGTAAAGGAATTGATATTGGGAGAAAGACTTTCAAAAAGCAGAATTGTAGATGTTCTCAAAAATTCAAAGTTATTATAAAATTTGACAATTATGCAGTTGAGAACTCGTAGAGCAAACATAAACTTCAATATTTATTCCTGTCATTATAAAGCTATAAATATGCATACCTCTACTCCTTGTTTCACCTATTCTTAACATGTGTAAAAATCTTTTAAAAAAAGTTTCTTGTTTTTCTATTATGAATTACTTAGTTAACAAAAATAATTCTAAAATACTATACTGAGTACTGTCCTCAAAAGCTTTAACTAAATTCAGCTTTTGCTCAGGGTTCGTACTGTACCTGGAAAATTTGGAAAATTAGTTAATTTTGGATAAAGTCATGAAAAACTCAGAAAAGTCAGGGAATTTTTTTTCTCTTTAGATAGTCATGGAAAAGTTATGCAACTCTGATTAAGAAGCTACTTGTTTTACAATTAAGCTAATATGTTTTTGTTGGTGCTACCTGTTTATTTTTTTAAAATTTATGTTTTTCTTTGTGTTCATTCTTAGTTATCGTTAATAATAAGATCTATACTAACATGTATAATAAGATCCATACTAATATCCAACTTAACTAATAGCTAAGTTTTAAAAGTTTTGTCATTCAAAGCATGTACAATTTTAGCATTTCCATTACAGTAGATAGTAATTTTAAACATTTTGTAAAAACCATTGTTGAAAATCTGTATCTGAGAGCCAACTTGTCTTAACTCCAAAAATTTTACAGTAGGAGTAAAATAAAGAATTTTTTCCACTTATTCTCTCATAACTTTTTTAATAATCACTTTTGGAAATTAAAAATTATACACTTTGTACAATTTATAATATTCTATATACAATTTATAATATTCTATATAATTAGTTAGTTTTTTATGCGACAGAGATTTCAGATATGTATATAACTCATTTTACTCAAAAATGGAGTTAAGACAAGTTGGCTCTCAGGTACAAAAATGGTCAAGAAAATTTATCTGATTTTTCAAAAAAGTCAGGGAAATTTTTATAAATATTTGGCTACGAACCAGCTGGTGCTGTTAGTGGGATTCCAGTATATATGGTTGCTGTTTATGTCATTTTAATTAACCCTATCTAAAAAATTGCTATATACCTTCTAATTATTATGTACTATATTAACTGGAATACTTGCAGCATCTGAGCAAAAATGAAAGATTTTGTTTTTGTGATTTTATTGGTTAGAATAGATTCATTTAGTTTTAATCCAATTCAATTGATTTAGGAGTTTTAGTAAATTATGAAAAAAGCTATAAAGGCTTAAGCACTTCTTTGTGGAGAGTCTTGCAAATATGGTGCTACTATTTGTCTGATTTGAAAAATGGTAAAGTTGAGTGACTTGCAAATTAGGTGCCGCAAGTGGTGTGACTTGCAAAAAGGTATAAATCCATTCCAGGTTAGCCTGCACATGTTAATTTTTCTATCCTTTAGTTAGTTTTTACATGATTACACTGATTTAAAAGTTTTATAAATAAATATCAAATGGATTTTATTTGGAGATTTAATAAAAATTAAGTTTAGTTTAAGTTTTCACATTAGAAAATGTTGTAATTTTTTAAAAGTGTTTATACAAAATATTGGAGACATTAATAATTCTTTTACTAAATAAAGAGTAGTTTAATTGACAAAAAACATCAAAATAATGTGACAATTTACAGAACCGAAAATAGAAAAGTGACATGTCATGCTGATTTGGCATGGAAAAACCAAATTGCAAGTGGTGTGACTTGGTTCTGGTTTACATTTTCGTTGTGTCTGTTGTTAACAATGATTATTATTTAGTTTCATTATTGAAATTATATTTTAAATCAATTACTGAAAGCCAAAACAAATTAATTACAATTTTTTTTAGATTAAAGGGGGAGGGGTTTACAATGCTCCCTTCACTAAAAGTATAGATACTTTGATGCATCTTGTAATGCGATAAAATAATTTTATACTAACGTCTCTTATTTCGAATAATATCAATTTAAATTTGTTAAAATCGTATTTGAAAATTTTTAAATTTTTTTTTAGGTTGGAAAGGCGGGGGCACACGCCCCTCACCTTAAGTTAATATATGTACCACTAGTATTTTTTGTAAAGTAGTTAAATTTATTTTTTGTACTTTATATTAGATTTATTCATTTTAATAAAGATAAAAATATTTATATTTGTTATTCTTTTTTAATAATAAACCTAAATGTTAAACCATACATCCTTAACTCAAAAATAAACCACTATTACCCATTAAAACAAAAATACAACTCTCATATTCTGCAGGGTCTGGATCCAAATTGTAACAGTTTCTTGTATACGGAAATTTTAATTTTGTTTAAATAAGCTCATATTATTTTTAAAAAATGAATTTTGTGACAGTAATGATTTTAGTTTCTTCCCCCTCCAACCCCCTGAATACGCCTTGTTACTAAAAACTATTACAAAGTTATTAAATAATATGTTAGGAAAATATGATTTTGACCACAGTTCCTTCAAGAAATCCATATATCAAAAATTTGTTACTAAAAACTTAATAACTTTTTGTAGAATTGTTCTGTTTTGATAATTTTTTCACCTTTAAAATACTGTATTGGAGCTGTATTAGAACTATATTCTAATAATATATGACAATCTAGTACTTAATAAATTTAAAAAGTTATATGAAATATATTAAATTTTCCTAAATTTTACTAATAATATGCAGTATGAGTAAAGTACTATTCGCATAACATTTCTATTTACTGCAGCCATATTCTCATCTCTCCGTTAAGCTTAACGGAGCTTTTGTCTAAAATTTCATTACAATATTAGTATAATATAAGTAAAGAAATGACGAAAATCTTATTTAAATTTTTGAAAATAAAACTAATACTAAAATAAGTTATTTTTAAAAATTTATATTTTTAAAGAACTTTTTTATTATTATCTTTAAAAAGAAATTTTTTACTAACGCTCCGTTAAGCTTAACGGAGAGATGAGAATACGGCCCCTGGTCGGTGTAATTATGGCGATTTTAAAATAATATTGCGTCTGTATGAAATTCTGCTGACTTCGAAATATTTCAGTAAAATGACTGGGTGAATTAAAAAAAAAACGAAAAAAAAAATTAAAATGATAAGTTTTGCCTTAACATAAAATAAAAATGTTTGTAGAAAAAAAACCCAGAAAACTCTTCTTTTTCGATAAAGAAAGAATCTTCCTTTTTCCTTTTTCCTTTTTGTTCCTTTTTCGATAAAGAAAGAATCGTCCTAAAATCAGATTTGCTTGTCCAAATTTGAATAAGATTTTAATAAATACGTTGTTTGGTTAAAATGAACATCATAGTTTAATAATATGATCTGCTAAGATCATTTATTGGCAATTTTTCTTAATTATAAGTTCTTTCTTGGAATTCTAATATTTTTTGTGAATATTGATAGAAATATTGTGTGCTTGGAATTTATATATATATATATTTTGATTTTCTTTTCAATTTATATTCAATTTATATTCAATTAAATAACTAGAACAGATTAGAGCTAGGATCTTAAGTAGATTTTCAAAAAAAGTTAAGTTGTTAACGCTGTTGTTAACGCTGTTGTTAACGCTGTTGTTAACGCTGTTGTTAACGCTGTTGAGCAGAATTTATCTAAAGATTCAAAAATAGTGCTCTATAGTTTCATAATTAGGGGTAATAAAAATTTTTTGAAAATTATGTTAAAAAAAAAGTTTTTTTAAACATTATAAAACTTGAAGCAAAAAAAAAACTATAGCAACTAAAGCTTTTGTTTGGACATAATACGCTGACAAAATCATTCTAATTCCAAATAAAAGAATTCCAATACCTTATAAATTGCCTTAAATACACCGAATGACTACAAATTTCAACTTACTACAATTGTAGTAAGTTGAAATTTGTAAATACACCGAATGACTACAAATTTCAACTTACCTACAATTGTCAGTGTTTTATGTTTTTTTCCAATTAAATATTAAAATGTAAGTAGTATTATTAAAATATATTTTTACTGTATATCAATTACAAATTTTTTTATAATTTATTAAGTTATAATTCAAATTAGATTGTAATATATTATAATAAAATTTGATTTAGGTAAATAGAGCTTTTCAATGCTAAGTGTGGATCGATAGTTACGGTGGTCGATCGGACGATAGTTAGGGTGGTGGTGGATGATAGTTAGTGTGGATCAGACAATAGTTAGGGTGGTGGTGGACGATAGTTAGTGTGGATCGGACGAAAGTTACGGTGGTGGTGGATAATAGTTAGGGTGGTCAAAATGTTCTCCAGATTTTTAAAAAATTGGAAACACGGACGCCATTTTCTAGCAGGCAGAAAAACTATATTCGGTCAAGAACTTATTAACAAGTTTAGAGAGATTTGAAGAGAGTTCTAGGGAACACTTTTGTAAGGCTTGACAGGAATGTTTTCTGGACAACGTAGAAAAGTTTTATTGAGATATGACTTTAGCAACGGAAGCTGGAGTGATTTGAATGTCTAACAATGGGTAATTCTGTTTAACTGGAATGGAAGGAAGACTCTGTCCATAAGATTCAATAGTCGAATTAGAAAAAAAGTTCTTTGCAAATAGTTCTGCCTTATCCGAAAAGTAATAAAATTACTCCCATAAATGAGAGATGAAATATTACACCGACCTTTGTTAATGATGCTGTTGAAGGTTTTCTAAAAGTTTTTCTATATAGCCTGAAGGTTTTCTAAAAGGTTTTCTATATAGCCTGACTTCTGAGATATAATACGAGATTTAGTAATTTTAGAATAATGGAGCTGAGCATCAGGCAGCACATTTTTACATTGATTTCTTGTATTAATAAATAGGCGTTTGTTCTCAAGAGAGTTTTGTTTGTTCTCAAGAGAGTTTTGTTTGTTCTTCTTACGATTAGATATAGCAGCTGCACAAGATAATGAAAACCATAGAATAGAATGAGACTTTACTTGGAACTGACAAGAAGGAATAAAAGTTTTCATTCCTGTCTGGATCCAGGAGGTTACGCAAGAGGCGCTTTTATCAGCGGAGAAAGAAAAGACATCAGCCCAAGGAATGTCACTAAGAAAATCAATAAAAGAATCCGAGAATAGGAGGTATAACAAAATAATTTTAACGTCGAGTTCTGTCAACAGTATTTTTTTAAAAACGCGTTATCGCGGGTTTGGGGACCGTAGTTTGGATTATTCGATTAGCATAGATTCGTTTGGATTAGCCATGCCTATAAATTATTAAACATGTGAAAAGTGTAGCTCTGGCTCTGCCGTCGATACATTTGTGCTAGACTTGCAAAACGCATGTGCGCTAACGTTGACAACAAGAATATATGTGACATCCTATTTCGTCTTAAACCCCATGGTTTATAATGCTTGCCTAACGCGGATTCAGGGGAGGAAAGATGCGCACATCTGGATCTGTCACTGTATATATATATGATACATTAACCGGAGGTTTTTAATAGTAATCAGTTAGACTATTTCAAAAGACCAAATAAAGCAGTTCGAGACAAAAGTTCGAGTTAACCGGTATTTGACTTACCGGGAATAAACTGTAGTTACTTTAAGAAATAGACGTCTCTAAACGGAAAGGAAACAACATTTAAATCTTTTTAAAAACATGCTTTAACTATGTATTGTCAATAGGCACGAAAAGATCAAGAAAAAAGTGATATGCTGTAATAAAAAGAAAAAAAAACATTTTCCCAAAACCAAACAGATGGCGCTTGGTACCTTTTTGTTTAAAGGCGTCCAAATTATGTATAAAACGATTTCGCGCCGCATAACTGCAGGATAACCACATAAGTAAATAGTTATTAAATAATATTATTAAAAAAAAAAACTAAAAAATTATTATAGTGAATAAAAACGGAAAAAAAAAAATTAAAGAAAAAAAAGAGTGAAAAAATAAAAAAAAACTCACAAAAATTAGCGACCCTACCAGGACTCGAACCTGGAATCCCCTGATTCGTAGTCAGATGCCTTATCCATTGGGCCATAGGGCCACATTATATCTTCGTTTTTATATTTATTATAAACTAAATTAGTTTTTAAAAATTTGAATGAATGCTAAGTCTTACAAAACCGAATGTTTCAATAATGCAAAAACTATGGCCTAAAACATTTTCCTATAAACTGTTTTGCAATAAAACAATTAACAAACAATTGTTTAAATGGAAAATACTAAAGATTTTAATACTATTTTACAAGCAATCTTTTAAAATTTATTTAAAATGTACAATGTTTATCAAGACATGTTATGTAATTTAATATAATTTCGGTAATAGTATATTAAATAATAATATATCCTTATTTATATTATCCAATTTATGTAACATATATATTACATAATAAATTATACAACATAATCCAAATTTAAGCTTTAATTTGCTAAAAAATCTCAAGTTCATGAGTGCTATTTTTAAATAACTTTAGAGGACTTGGCTCATGCTGGAATTATTTAAACTATTAAAAAGACCATAATTTAAACCATAGAATATTCCTCAAGGAAATAGAAGAAAAATACAAACTACAAACGCCTAATTTTTTTTTTTATTCACTTTTAATATTTTACTTATAACTCACAACTTAAAACTTAAAAATTTGTTTTTTAGAAAATTTATGTGCTTAAACACTTTGTAAAAGATCTAGATCTCTTTTAATCACATCTAAATTAAAGTTTTATAAATTTAATAAAACAATTTGAAGAAAACGGAACGAGCAAAATCCAAAAGAAGTTTAAAAAGAGATTTTAAAAAATTCTGTATAGACAAACAAAAAAACTTGAAGAAATTTTTTTAAAACACAAAAAGAAATAGTTGTGTTAAGTAGAAAAAGATTTTTATTTATTTCATTTTATTTACTACCTAAGTTATAGATTCGATTTAAGTTAAGCTTAAACTTTGTTTTTTTTTTTATTTCTAAATATAAAAAAAATAAAAATAAATAAAAGAAGAAAAATTACAAGAGAAGGTGTTCTTAAAACTTAAAGAACAAGAACAAAGTATAAGGCACGCTGATATTCCAAGAAGATCATCAGGTCTTTTCACAGAGTACCGGTGTTGGCGAAATTAGAACTTTTTTTTTACTAAAGTTGTGTGTTTTTTTTTAAATTTTTTCTTGATATGTTGTGTACTGCTTTCATCCATCAAACTACTGAGT